CACCCTGTTACCTTGCTTTATACTAATAATTTAAATTTCTGATAACCACAAAATCTTTTTTAGTTTTTTCTCAAGCCGATTTAAAAATAATATAAAAAATTAAATGTGTCTGAAGATTGTAGTGTTTTTGTTAACCTGACTATCTTGGCTTAGCAGTTAAGAGGTCATTGTACATATTAGTTGTTTAGAAAAAGTCAAGATCCATCATGTCAGATGTTGATTTGAGTCACGTTATTTATAAAAAATAGCTTTTTGTGTCAAAAGTCATAGCAGTTTGCGTAACATTGTGCCATCGTCCTTGATTTATCAGCTTAGTTGCCTCATTTTGAGAATCATATTTAACTGATCTTAATATATCGTTTGTGGTCGGTGTACTTTTTGGTCATTCAGTTTTTCATTTTAAAAACAAGGAAAAACAAAAAAAACGGATGGTTTGTTTTTCCATTTTAAAAACACATATATTGAAAAATCAAAAAACGGTTTGTTTTTCGTTTATCATTTTCAAAAACGATATTGTAAAAACAAAAAACTGATGGTTTATTTTTTATTGTCTATTTCAAAAATGGAAAACAGACCAGTTTTTTCATCTTTTGCCGAACCGGAAGTTTACCGTTGTTGTTACGGCAAGTCAAGGCACGTAAATACCAGGCGCTCTGGGCATTTTAATTTTTTGCTTTATCTCGTCAGTTTGCAGATTTCAACACTATTAGGTTGGCTTTACAACCAAATTCTGAAGAAATTGTGTTTATGGCGAGAAATGGATTGTCTTCTACGGCAATCTCTGCGCCTATTTCACGACGTTATGGAGAGGAAAGGGGGGGGGGGGGTCTCCCCGAGGAGCATCAGTAGATTTTGCTCAGAAAATGGCTTGAGTAAAAACTCTGATACACATCTAGGTTTAAACTGCAACATTTGCCCAAGTTTGTCGGCAGTTATTTCCTTTCTCAGACACGAGATTTGCTGTTGCGTTAAACAACAAACAGCTCCGTGCTTCACACAATGTGGATGGGAAAGCTTCTTTGAAAAAATAAAATAATTTTTTTTCTGGTATAGCAAAAACAAAAAGAGGGTCCATTTTCCTGTTTTTGGAGTATAAAAAAAGAAAAACCATCCATTTTACATTTTACCAATATAGGTTTTTAAAACAAAAAACCATCTGTTTTTCATTTTTCATTATTTTGTTTTTAAAAGAAAACTCGAATGACCAAAAAGTACACTGACTGTTAGTAAGGATATATTTACTGTATCATCAAGTTGGAACTCGTTTATTATTTGAAAACTTTTTGAAATCTCTTGTGATGACATGTTCTACAGTCATCGAAATCATTTGAACACATTTAAACACAACCATCTCGTGAGTCGAGCATTTCGAAATATTTGTGGTCACTTTTATGCAGATAATGTTTTAGTCATTGGGATTCTGTTTAAAAATGTAGACTTGAAAGGGTGGTAAAATAATAGTAAATTTTCAAAGTGTTTACTTACTTTCCCGCCGTGTTTAGATCAGTAAGAATCTCCACCATCCCTGCCTTTGGCACCATCATGGAGACGGTCACACAGAAAGAGGTATGAAAGTAAATCATGGTCAGGATTCATGTGTGTGCAGGCGTACAACTTCATGACTATATTACCTTGTCTTATTTGTAGCTGCTAGAGCGTGTTAAAATGCAGCTGGCCTCATTCCTTGAAGACCCCCAGTACCAAGATCAGCACTCTTTGCACATGGAGATCATAAGAACGTTTGGTCGGGTCGGGCCAAATGCAGAACCACGCTTCAGAGACGAGTGTATGTTGATGTTTAAAGACTTCTTCACTTTTTTCACAATGCAAATATATTGATTTTTTTATTTATTTTGTGTTCCTCAAGTTGTGCTCCCGCACCTTCACAAGCTTGCGCTGGCTAACAACAGTCAGTCGGTGGAAAGCAAGAGGGTCGACATCGCCATCCATCTGTTTGAGGCCTACAGTGCCCTCTCCTGCTGCTGTATCCTTCCTTTGGTTACGTTTAACCRTATTTAAGCTGGAAAGTATCGTATACTGCTCAGTTTCGCCTCAAACCAACTTGAACTTCTGACGATTTACTAGATGTATTTGTAATGTTCGTCTCAGAGTCTGTGTCAGACTGTCAGAATTTCCCATCCAACGGTCTTCCTGCTGCTCAGATTAGCTCCTGAGTTTTGAACGGTTTGCTGGTTCGTATCATTGTGGCCGTGGTTCCTCAGAGTTTGGTTCACTKTGTGCGTTGGCGGACTTCGTCTGTCATTCGACAGCAGGGAAAACGGGGAAAATTGAGCCGCCTCCATTTTGGGGCTTGAAGTAATTACAGGGATGGATAAGCAGAGGAAAGGATGAGAGCAGGAGAAAGTGTGTGAAAGGACCGAACATCAGCTCCGATCTTGAGGAACGATTCTCAGGATTGGATTGGCACTAATATTACACATGTTTTACCTCTTTCCTCTGGTTCCTGTGTGATTCTCTTTCCTCTGTTTGCTTTGCGTGTCCTCTGACTGCTGTGCCCCACCTAGTTCCAACACACACAGACAGAGGTCAGCTGGTTTGAGGTTCATTCCTGTGGATTTTTGGTAGGCTGTTATTTCAGTGCAGTTGTGTCCAGGAGCTGTAGCCCTAACCTAATGGGGCATACCTCCCACTGTACTTTTTTTTTTCTGTAATCAGTCTGACAGCCTCTGAAACTGTACATTCCCATCACTAAAAATAGAAATAGAGATCTGTCTACCACTCATCCCACATGGCCCCAGATTTTGACATGTGGCAGAACACACACACAGTTGTGGACAATGGAGCAATGYGTTCAAGTTACCAGAGCAGACAAAAAGAAACTTTCTAAATGTGTATGTTTTAGTTTCTTTAATGATCTCAGATTGTGCTTAAACAAAAAARCAATACGGTCAGAAAAGTGAATAAATAAAGACTACTTTTTGGCATTGTTTCGAGAGTAAAGAGGTCAGGCAAAACATTGTTCAAAACAGCAGCAGTGTCCCTTTACTRTGTAAAGAAATCATACGGGGAAAGTGCTTGTACCTACAGAACTTTATTATTGACTCTTTTTTTTATTTTAAGCACGCTTCTTTATCAAATGTACCACTTATGAGCCACAGTTAACAAAAATATGGCAAAAAAAAGATGGTTCCTGTATTGAAATCATCCCTAACTTAACCGTGTATAAAGTACCTCAAAGTGATACTTGAGTAAAAGTACAAGTATCTTATCATAAAATTAYTTTGGTAAAAGTTCAAGTCCCCTCAAAGGATATTACTTGAGTCTTAAAGTATCTGATTTAAGTATCAAAAGTAAATTTCTGATATAAAATGTACTTGCGTATCAAAAGTAAAAGTATTGAGTAAAAATGAGCAGTTAGATTTTCCAAAATGACATTTATTGAGAGGTAATTTCTCCAAAATAAAACATTTTTATTAAGGTGTGCAGCTGTGATGTATTGTGTACAAACTAATACTGTGTCAGAATGGTATAGTATTTATACTTCTCATCCAACCACAATTAAGTTCACTCTATGCAGGACGCACAATTTATCAAGATATAGTTTTTTAACAATAAAAATTAAATGAAATGGGAGTAACAAATTTCTTCTTCTTACTTTTTTAAAAAATGGAAGTTGAAATAAAAAAGTAGGCTGAAAATAATTACTCAAGTAAAATACAGACAACCAAAATTTCTACTTAAGTGCAGTAACAAAGTATTTGTAATTAGTTACTTTACAACTTCTACAGTCTTTTTAACATCCCTTCGCCATATTTCAGGGCTTGGGATCAATCAAGTTTTATTGATGTGTTCCAGGACAGGTTGATGGGTCGAGGCCTCGGTCACAGAAATGATGTGAAGAAGCAGCTGAGCCATTTATAAGCTGATGCCTTATTTCCTTCATAATTGCTGTTGGGAATCCTGGCTGAAGATTTAATCCTTTGTTGAGTCAAATATGAGGTGGTTGTTTTTTTTTTGAGGGAGTTTTCTCAGTCTGGGAACTCCTCCACAAAGATCTGATTGTTGAACACTGCAGGTCTGTAAGAATCTCCCATGCTTACACAGGAGCTCTGCATCTGATTGTGACCACTGGTTTATTGGTTTTCCTCCTTTTAATCAAATATTTGAAACCACAGTTATAAGGATGATCTAGAAAGCCTGGAGAGAGGGCAAAGGGCAATCAATATAAATGTTTTGATACTTTGTAGTAAGCCTTTCTTAACTGTCTTGTGTTACCAACATCCCTTCTTACCAGATCATGACTCATTTTGTTTAAATAAAAGGAACTGGTAACCCTTTATTTTACAGTCCCCTAATTACCATGCAATTACCTAGTATTTTCCATGCTAAGTAATAACATTTTACTGTGCATTTACCTGGGAATTACAATAACTTACCATGTAATTACTTTGTAAGAACATATGTTTGTATTCTTTTGGTTAATAATATACTGTATAATTGAGGTACTACTTAACAGTAATTTGATAGTAGTTACCCAATAAAAGTAGTTTTACTAATATAGTAGTTTACTGGTAATGGCATGGTAATCAGGGACTATGCTGGGTAATTGATGTACTATTAAGATCACTAAATTAGTTTATTTACATTGTAATATTCTAAGTATATACTTTGATAGCATGGTAATTAGGTGACTGTAAAAATAAAGTTGGCATTTTTTTTGGGCAAATAGTGCGTAATTGAGATACTACTGAACTATTGCAATAGAATTCCATCCATCACCCACTAAAATTTGTTTAATTACACAGAGCTGCTTCATGGAAGAAGAACCTCAGCTTAGCCTGTTAACTTTAGCATTAGCCCAGACGCTAACACCATATTAGCTCAGCGCTGCACATTGTCCTCTCATCACTGAGGTCCTCCATCCACATGACAGAGAGGGGAACACAAAAATGACTCAGCCTGCAACTGAAAATATGGATGGAGGACCTCAGTTTAGCTTGTTAGTTTGTCGCGCTTGTGCTGAGGTAATGCATATATGGCAATGTAACGTTGGTGCTAGCGCGAAGGCTAACAGGCTAAGCTGAGGTTCTTCTTCCATGAAGCAGCTCTGTTGTCCTCCATCCATATTTTCAGTTCCAGGCTGAGTCATTTCTACCTTCTCCTCTCTGTCAACGCTCTCTGGTTTCATTTAAGAGTCGATCGTCACATATTGTCCAAGATTAACCTTCAGGGTGGACATAGCTCGCTCACACCGAGGACCTATCCACGTCATTATTTACCCAGAATGCTTTGCGTGTAAATAAAATGGCTCTGTCCGTTTTAAAATATATATTTTAAAAATTTACAAAACTAAACAGCCTACAGTATTTTTACAGGCTATATTCTGCAGTTAAAATAAATGTTTATCAAATAAAGTCTAATGTTAAAACTAATCTGGGATCCCTTTTTAAGCTCATCAGTGCCAATCTGTAAATGTTCTCCAGTGTGAGCAGAGACCACTACTAAAAGTGGATTGCATCATATCTTGGTTGTTTAAAAAGAGTCTAAATGAACTTAATATGCTAACATGTATTTTTTTTTTCATTGTGCAGCTTTGTATGTAATCAAATCCATATTGAGAAGACTTTGAAGTATACCAAAATGTGGAAACCTTTCACGGGTCAAAGACCTTCCTCTATAGCAATACACCCGTGTGAAATTCAAGTCCTTAACGTTCTGTTCAGTCATATCTGAGGAGGTAATGGTCAACTATTTCCTGCCGGGCCTCAGGTGTCTGCACGCCGACATGGATCAGCTCTCTCCAGAGCATGAGGTCAGCAGATGCAACGCGCACACATACGTTCACGGGGATTTCATGCGCTCTTCACAACTCTGACTCCCAACTTCTCACATTCATACGTGCATTCAGAAAAACCGGTATCACATCTGCGTGCTCATGCACCGCTGCACCAGACTGTCTCCCTTATTCTATCGGTTACTCCCATGGTGTCGCACAAAATAAAAGCAGACAGTCTGACTCTTAGCTTCTTTCACAGTCACACTCACGGACACACACCTAAAGTATTTATTTGTGTCTGAGTCGCACGCAATCCATTTCATGTGAGCATTTTCCCAAAGTGACTAATAATCAGCTGTTTTTTTTTTTTTTTTTTTTTGTATTTTGCTTTCATCCAAAATTATCTAGAATCTCCTTAAAACAGATTATATTTTTATGCAATAAAATGCACAAATATGTATATGCCAAGTTTTAATTCTGACATGCTGGTACAGACGTAGGCCCATGTTTCCTCCCATTCAGTACCCTTGTTGACAAATCGTATACAGGTGGTGTAAAGATATTTCTGTAACTCTGACTTTTTGGCTTAATTTTCAACAGGCATATTTGTTTTTGTAACATTCCTGCTCAGTTTCTCTGTTCTTTCCCAGGTAATTCTCAGTTCCATGATAAAAGAGTGTGAAATTAAGGTGGAAAACAGAGGAATGTCTGACACACAAGGGTGAGTCAATCAGTCCCATTCACATCACTTCCAAAGAAAAAAAAATCAAAAGACCATTATTTTAAAGGAAAGCAGTGATAATTTACAGTGGGGAAGTAGTCCTGACTTTTACGTTTAATATTAAGTCATGTAATTACAGTTATTTGAAATAATTGTGACCCTGTAATGTTTCCATTAATCTGAATGAAATCAAATAGATTTTCCAACTTGCATTCTCCCATTTATTTACTAAAGATGGCTGAATAATTGAATTTGTGCCATGTTTTATTCCTCACTACCAAAAACAAAGGTGGAGCAATAACGTCTTTGTGTTTGTTTGCACAGCTCAGTATTCCCTGAACACTTTTTATTTTGTTGACCCTTTCAGAGTAAAATTACCACTTAACTACTGGAGTCAATCGACTCATAGCAAACACAAAAATAACTGTAACTCAGTCAGATTTACAGATATTTACGTACAATTTGCTGTGTTAGTAACTGAGTATCAGCTACAACACAAGCTTCCAGCAACAACAAACTGCTGGAGTTAACTCTGTTTACCACTAGATGGATTTTAGTCTTCAGGAAGAAAATGAAATGTTTTGGAAACAAAAGCTAAAAGGGGTGTCCCGATGCAGCTTTTTCATTTCCGATGCAGTACCAATTTTGCAGCCTTGAGTTTTGGTCAATACCGATATCGACCCGATACGATATCAGAACAAGTCATAAATAGTTTTATAACTTCTTTTGTTGTGTGGAATCTTTAAAAGTCTTGATCAAATCAAACTGTAAACAACAGTAGGTATATGAGACTTGTTTCTTTTATTTATAACCAATGGGTACAATAAAATACAATAAATAAATAATAGAATAGAAGACCGTGACAATTTGCCTCAATAAATCCAATAAAAACAAAATATATGTTTAAAATGTAAAATAACAATTCAAAGTCACTTACAGTAAGTTATTTTTGCTGGATCCAAGYGCTGCTGGATGGAAATCCTGAGCGGACCACTGGCGTGCTAATATCAGAAATTTTAGATTTTTGGGCTAATATTGGACCGATAACTGATGTCGATATCGGATCGGGACACCCCTAGTGCCTTTTAAATCTGTTTCCCCCTATTTTAAAATAAATATTCAGGGCTCTTTCAAATGAAACATCTATGTAGTATAAACATGACTTTTATACATAGTTTATACACATACATGAAGAATGCACACGCTGTGTTAAAAATGAGACTCCTGATGTCTTTACAGACTATTATTCAAATTCTGCTGCAAATATCTTAATGTTTGAAGCTGACTTCAAACCATAAACAAGACAGAACCATTACAGGAAGACTGGACTCTGGGGATAAGAATATTCTGCCTGTGTAGTGTAATGCTAATGATTATCTACATGTCACATGATGATTCAAAAAAACGCTTCAGTCCCCTAAATTTATTGGATTTAGTTGAGAGTTGCAGTTAAACTATAATGTTTGTCCTTCTGTTAAGCAATACAGCATGTTAACTTCTCTGTATCAGTCAGAAACTTAACTCAAAAGAGGAACTTGAGGAGCCGTTAGACTGTAAAAACTCAGGAGGGGGTTGTATTGGCAAACAGCGTTTCCTCTCTAAAAATATAGAGTAAACGGTGGGAAGGGTGGGGTACGATTTGAGACGATATAATAAAATGYAAGATTTTATTTTGAAGTCAACATATTTCACTTTATTCATTCATGTGTTTTTAAATAGATCTATTTCCATTGCRTCCAGTTTGGTGGGGGAGGATGCCAAGACCAAGTTCCTAAGCAAGATGGGTCAGCTGACCACCTCTGGAGCCATGTTGGCCAATGTCTTCCAGAGAAAGAAGTAACTGACTGAGCCTTCGTGATTAACTGACGAGCTTCGGCACGCTTCAGGCGGATTTCAAATGTTTGCTGGAGAAAATACTGRTTCCGCTAAAAGTAGAAGACAAACAAGGGTATGATTTAATCAAACAAAAGATAGAATAGCTACAGCAGAGCTACCKGTTAGGAGAAAGGCACATTATTTTGTTCATTTTACAGCAAAATCCTCCAAAGGTTCCTCTGTTTACTCCTTTTTTTAAATCCACTTTTTAATTCTTCGTCGTGACAAAAGCAAAGTCAGGATCAGTGGATTTGCTTTTATGAGACTGCGTTGACAGTTTTCAATTCAGAAAAAGGAGAAGGTGAAGGGAGGAAACACTATCGACATCCACCCCGAACTGATCAGAAGAGTTTTAACGTGGACGTTTCTTGACATTTTCTGCACAGAACAGGAAAAAGAAAAGTTGGTTCTTAGCCTGCTGGATTTTGAGTAGAATTTTAATGGGCACATGTTAGGGTCAGTTGTTTCTCAAACAGTTTGATTAACCTGAGAGAAATGCGAGAACTGTCTGGACACTGGCTGAGGATGACTTGTACAGATTGTCTGTACGGTTTAGAGATWTTGCCTACTTGAAACCATAAACTATTGTCTTGCCTTTTATTTCTTTAAGTTTTGTTTCTGTCATGATAGTTTCTATTTCATTATTTATGTCTTAATGAAGGAAAAGAAAACACTTTATTCCTACTTCCAAAGAAATTTGCACTTCACTTTACTGTTTGTTTTGTTTTATTGTATTTTTTGTTGTTTTTATTTAGTCTTATSCATACAGATTACCACTACTTTTCTTTATTAATTTTGGCAAGCTGAAGAGAACACTGGTCTTAATTATACCTTCTCTGTCTGTTGCATCTTGTCCAAGTCTTGCAGTGTCTCTGATTATTGTAATGTTTTTTTTCTCTCTAAGCTAGTTCTTTTGTTTTATGTTTTTGTTCTTTCGAATATGCTCCAAGWGACGCATTAAATACCTGTGTCATACACTGACGTGAGCTGGGTGGTACTCGTTATGTATATTTGAAATTTGTGTCATGATGTAATAAAAGATGGAGATCAGTTGTGTACTTTAATGGAGTTTCTGACAGATTTTTTTTTACTGTTTTTGTGACAATGGAAAAGCAATCCAGGCTGTGGCTCAAAGAGTCTACAGGTGTTGAAAGTTGTAAAATGAAGTCATTTCACAGAAAAAAACACACTCCTACTACTGTCGCCCACATCTAAACCTTTGATGTGGTCTATTGTTGCCTTTTAGTACAACAAACCAAAGTCCATTTTATGGGGCATTCCCAATAAGTCACTCAACTTATCTAAAAACAATAAATTTAAATAATAATTGTCTTCATGAAAATAGTGTTTAGTTTATAGTCATTCATACTTTAACCCTCTCGACTGGTGTGGTAAATCTCTGTCTTGAAATTTTCAAAAAAAAAAAAAAACGGTTCTTTATCAAAAGGTTGACCAATGCTAGCCAGCTATCCATTGGTAATAAAAACAAGATTTGCATGTTCAAGCTAATGTTTAACTATCGCTGATAATGGACCAGGTGGGCAAATATTCAATCCACGTGGGATGGGGAGAGATACGGCTTGTGTAGGTGTGTGTAGGTGTGTAGGTGGGTGTGTGTGTGTGTGTGTGTGTAGATATGTATCTATGCAGAACAGATGCCGATGTGCTTGATTTGCATGAAGAGAAAATGCTTTGCTTCTTTCTATCTTAAAACAGCCAGTGTATAGTCGTGATGGAAAAGGAGCATGTGTTTTGGTGGTTTTACGTAGCAGGACTTTAAATAGCATCGGGTCTTAAAATTTGAGTAAATACCACCTCACAAATGTGGCATGGTGACGTATATGTTGTTTACCAAAATCAAAAAGCTGAAATGATGAATGRACAAACGACTGGACTTAATAATCCAACGTCTTGCACAGTGGCCTTATCAGTCTCACGTTATCGTGGAGGAATTTCGGCCCACTCGTTTTTACAATGTGGCTTTAATTTGAGGGTAAATATGCACAGCTGTCTTAAGATCCTGCCACAGAATTTTATTGAGCTTTTACTGGACCATAACGACACTGATTCTTTTTATTATTATTTTTCTTTTTCAGTCGTTTTGTTGTAGATCTGCTGCTGTGCTGTAGCTTCACATTTGACTGATAGTCATCCATTCTTTTTTACCAGAGCTATCGCCAGCACTCATCGTGTGAGAGCTGGGAGTACACGCCCTGGACAGGTGGGAGTACACGTCTTTGACAGGATGGGGTACACTCCCTTGACAAGTGGGGGTACACACCCTGCATACGTGGGGTACATACCCTGGACAGGTGGGGGTACATGCCCTGGACAGGTGGGAGTACACGCCCGTGACAGGTGCAGGTACACACCTGTGACAGGTGCGGGTACACACCCGTGACAGGTGGGGCTACATGCCCGTGACAGGTGGGGGTACACGCCTTTGTCAGGTGGGGGGTACACACCCTTGACAGGCGGGGGTACACGCCTTTGACAGGTGGGGGTACACTCCCTTGACAGGTAGGGGTACACTCCCTTGACAGGTAGGGGTACACGCCCTTGACAGGCGGGGGTACATGCCTTTGACAGGTGGGGGTACACGCCTTTGTCAGGTGGAAGGTTCACGCCCAGGACAGGTGGGAGTACACGCCCTGGACAGGTGGGGGCACACGCCCTTGACAGGTGGGGGTACACGCCCTTGGTAGGTGGGGGTATAGGCCCTGGACAGGTGGGGGTACACGCCCTGGACACATGGGGGTACACGCCCTTGACAGGATGGGGTACACGCCCTTGACAGGTGGGGTACACACCCTGCACNCTGTAGCTTCACATTTGACTGATAGTCATCCATTCTTTTTTACCAGAGCTATCGCCAGCACTCATCGTGTGAGAGCTGGGAGTACACGCCCTGGAAACGTGGGGGTACACGTCTTTGACAGGATGGGGTACACGCCCTTGACAGGTGGGGGTACACACCCTGCATACGTGGGGTACATACCCTGGAAAGGTAGGGGTACACACCCTGGAAAGGTGGGGGTACACACCCTGGACAGGTGGGGGTACACACCCTGGACAGGTGGGGGTACACACCCTGGACAGGTGGGGGTACACGCCCTGGACAGGTGGGGGTACACGCCCTGGACAGGTGGGAGTACACGCCCGTGACAGGTGCGGGTACACGCCCATGACAGGTGGGGCTACATGCCCGTGACAGGTGGGGGTACACGCCTTTGTCAGGTGGGGGGTACACGCCCTTGACAGGCAGGGGTACATGCCCTTGACAGGTGGGGGTACACGCCCTTGACAGGTAGGGGTACATGCCCTTGACAGGTGGGGGTACACGCCTTTGACAGGTGGGGGTACACACCCTGGACAGGTGGGGGTACACGCCTTTGTCAGGTGGGGGGTTCACGCCCAGGACAGGTGGGGGTACACGCCCTTGACAGGTGGGGGTACACGCCCTTGGTAGGTGGGGGTACACGCCCTTGGTAGGTGGGGGTACACGCCCTTGACAGGTGGGGTACACACCCTGCACATGTGGGGTACACTCCCTTAACAGGTGCGGGTACACACCCGTGACAGGTGGGGGTACACACCCGTGACAGGTGGGAGTACACACCCGTGACAGGTGGGGGTACACGCCTTTGTAAGGTGGGGATTCATGCCCTGGACAGGTGGGAGTACACGCCCGTGACAGGTGGGGGTACACGCCTTTGTCAGGTGGGGATTCATGCCCTGGACAGGTTGGGGTACACGCCCGTGACAGGTGGGGGTACACGCCTTTGTCAGGTGGGGATTCATGCCCTGGACAGGTGAGGGCACACGCCCTTGACAGGTGGGAGTACACGCCCTGGACAGGTGGGGGCACACGCCCTTGGCAGGCCACAATTTATGACCTCGGTGGTCGTGGTGCGCACACAGTACCACACACGTCCTCTACTGTCCTCATCAATAAGTAACACACCATCTGTGTCGAAGTGTTTTTTTATGTTAAATGTGGTGCTGTGCGTTATGACAAAATGTTTCCACTTTGGGGTCATCTGCTCAAAGAATGTTGCTTCAGAAGTCCTGTGATTTTGTTTCATATGAAACTTTTCCAACCTCAGCTTGGTTGTTTTTAGAGAAGAGGCTTTATTCAGGCAACATTTCCAAAAAAACACAAAACTTTTTCCCTGATTTTCTGCCATTTATTTGAGCATTTCAAGCTTTTTAGAAATTCTCACTGCATAGCAACAGTTAGAAACATTTTTATACTATTGTAAGTGCTTTGTTCATTTGAAACATTTACCAAAAAAAAAGTTAAAACCCGTTAGGAGCTAGATTTTATTTTTAACATCCCGTGCTACCAAAACGGTAGAAATGGTTCAACTAACGAGCTCTCGCTAACTTTGGTTTGCAGGATGACTCACAGCGCATCTGTCTCCAAAGCAATGAAGCATTGCAGTTACGACCCTAAAACCACCGAAATGAAGTGCCTGTGACTGAACGTCATTATTTCACTCTGCTCTTTGTCTTTGGCGGGGTTAATGTGGATGATTTTATTTTGTTCCCTCCTCACTGTGTTGTTGGGAAATCAGACCAAATCGTTGAAGCCTCTTCCAAAGTTTCTGTACCAGAACAGGCTGTGGCTCTTTTGTTCTATGAAGGGAGCATGTTTTAAATTAATTGATACCATTCAGTGGGTTTTACYGACTTGCTTCAAAATTGCTGTCTCCTACTTTGTGAACTTTAACTTGTCGACCTTTTATACTAAGCAACATAGTTCGCATACTTGTGGCTCTGGAGTTCATGTCTTCGAGAGTTTAATGCCTTAAGATTGGTGTGAATTGATGTGAAGCTACATCACTCAAAACTGTTTAAAGTGAAGCCTAACACTCACATCTCATAAGTCAACAGTTTAGTTTTACTGTCAGTGGGTGATCTGATGTGACACGGTTGTGGTGCATTCAGAGTCAAGCTGAGGTTTTTGATTGCTAACAGTTAAATCTTAATTGCTCCTGTGGACGCTGCAAAGCCCCCACCACAGAACAGCATCTGTCAGCATTTTTTTTTTATTGGAAAACAGGCCATTAACCAGTTACAGTTCACTTCTCACTATTCTTCCTATTTTCTTAAGTCCTTGAACTTTAGTTTTAAGAAGTTCTCCATGTGAAAACATCTTAAGTATTGTTGCATGTTAATACAAGTGTTCTGTTTAAAATGACCTGATGTGTTTACTTTTTCATTTCTCAGCCATTTTTTTGTTCTTTCTGCATGATTAAAAAGGAAAAGATTTCACAACTTCTTATCATCCCCCCCTTCTCTCGAGGTAACCAAATTGCCCTTGGATGTACAGGWTGATTTAAGATTTGCATAACTGTCAACTTGAAGAAAACATGTTCTCCACTTTCACTAACCTTCCTCCTTCACTTGCCAAAAGCAGGCCGGCCTATGCAAATCCAGAGGGAAACACAAGCGGGGCTGTTTTTCCTGGGAATAGGGAACAGTTGTTGTAGTTCCTGGAGGCATTTGCTAAACTGTTTCAAAACAAACTTTTGTGCACCSTAGAGTCGGCGATGGCTGTTTAACTGGACCCAGACTCCCAAGAAGTGTACCGAACCCCCGTCCTACTCATCTTCCATGATGAATGCCGGTCGTGGGAGGTGAAATCTTTGAAAGTGACCACATGCTTTGCCTGCAGTGGATGACAGCCGGATGGGTCCAGCTCTGGTGTGAGGTCATCATTTGACTTGTTTGGCTGATGATGTAAGGAGTTCCATGAGGCAAACCTCTGCAGTAAAATTAAGCATTTAAATTTAAAATTTCTAGTAGGCAGCCTAAATATTGAGATCATAGTCGATACACAAATAAAGGACTTCCAGCTTTTTTTAAAGACTACACTCACAGGACTGGGATTGTATTTGGAAGCTTATTTATTTATTTATTTATTTATTTATTTATTATTATTATTAGTAGTAGTAGTAGTAATAGTAGTAGTAGTAGTAGTAGTAGTGAAGTCCTTTTCAACTAAATGTACAAGCAGCCAAGGGAAGCTAAAAATAAATTATGCCACCCAACAAAATTGTAACAAAAATATGATATCAGAGGTGTCAAGTAACTAAGTACCAATACTCTGTTACTTAAGTAGAAATTTTGGCTATACTTTGATGGAGTAATTATTTTTCAGCCTACTTTTTACTTCTACTCGTTACATTTTAATTCCATTATCTGTACTTTCTACTCCTTACTTTTTAAAAATGCAAAAAGTATTTCATTTCCATTTAACTTTGACTTGTTTTTATTCCATCTTTCCATTGTTCAGAAAACAATCAATAAACAGAAATCTATCCAGATACATGGAGCCCATGGACAGAGTGAATATGGTTGTGGTTGGATGAGAAGTGTAAATATAAACCATCCTGACATCATGAACTCACTCCATCACACCTGTATGACACAAACCACATCACATCCTGCAGGACAGACTGTAGCAGATGGAGCCTGGGATGAAGATGATYGTGGCTGAAACAACTAGTCTAGTCAGTTTGTCAACATTAACATTTTAATTTAAAATTATACTCATTATTGAATTTAGAAGAAAAATGAGGGGTCGGGGGTTGTATGCTATAAAACCCTGTGGCACAGCCTAAGCTTTTATCCTTAATGGCTTTTTTAAGTGTTCATTACTTATATACTACTGTATATGTAGTTTTAAAATCATTACTTTTATACTTTTGCTTGAGTTGATGCTTCTACTTCCAAAACGGTATTTTTAAACCGCGTCTACTTAGATGATGAATGTGAAAACTTTTGACACCTCTACACACACAATATACTGTAGTTTCCAATCGTTTCAGCTTCTGACCCAAAAATAACAATGTCAGAGACTCAGGACTCTGTTAAAAACATTACTAAAAACTATAATTACAGACAGCCTCAGTAATTGTTATTTTGATCCATTTATAAACAGTTTTTATATTCATACACACATATATATTTGACTGGTGTATATACTGTATGTAC